GCCCCGGCGGAATGCGCTCTTTCCTGCACTAAGGATACCGCATCATGGGCGTATGAAACGGTTCTTCTGCCACCGCCGCACCATACGCTATTAATATCATGGGGTATATTTAGATTTCAATGGGGAAGAGGACGCGAGACTACGAATCGCTCGTCCGATATGTCGTCTGCAAAGCTCAATTACTTGAGCGAATTGCAATAAAGGAAGTGCTCTTATCTGAAGCCTCATTATCAATATCGAAAGAATTAGTATCGATAAAGTTCGCCCTCGCATTCTTGATAGATCGGCGACACTTTTACTTCTCTATAAGCTTTTACTACTTTTAATTAGTTTTAGAAAACAGCGCTCGTTCGCACGATCAATAATAATTTGTAAATTCACTTTGTACGTCACGCAGCTACACTTTAGATTGGATATATAATTAGATTGGACGTTCTGATCCGAATCCAAAAGAATTTCAAAGGTATCGATCTTAATTCTGTGGAAGAAAAGATGTCTTTCACGTTTACTTGTACTTCACTGTCGCTGTAGCCGCGAGCGCAATATTGTTACACCCGCGCAGCATTCGTTCCTTAAGCGATGTCTCGACGCGGATTTACGCGCGCCCGGTGAATCGCATTATTTCTGGAGCACGAAGCGCCCCGAACGGAATGCACTTTCTGGTACATATTTATAATTATCACGGCGGCGGTTTCCGCGCGCGCTCTGCGCGTCCGCTGTGTGCATTTGCGACGTCTGCCGCGACATCCTGTTTCTTGTCTCTGTCTCGCGTTTTCGTTTTTCTCGGCGTGCGCGTGCGAGAAACCCCGAGACTCAACACGTGACTGGCAAACGCACAGCGATTTCACGGATACACCCCATACAGCACACGTTGCAGCCGAAGCCCCGGGGTCGCTCTCCTGGAAAAAGCTTCTTAGAATAATAAGTATGCGTCTATGGTTTTCCAGTAAATCCTTAAAATATTTAAGGATTTATCCGACGTTCCATGAATATCCGAAAGAACTGAAAGCGGCCCTCCGTACGTCGTCGAACTTCCATTCACCGGAGATCGCTACAGATGGTTCTCTCGTGACCCGAATTTTCTGAAAAAGAAATAACACTACTGCAAATGAAAACCGTTATTCTCTTTCGCATCTTTTCGGGCTTGAGCTTGAAGCGCGAAGATGTAATACCGAGAGAAACGATAGTGAAGAATCTTTTTTTCTGGTTTTCGGATTTACTATTAATTCTCACAAAGTCGCGACAGCCAGCTTTCTTTTCAGGATTTTACAGTTTTTCTCTCGTTTTTCGCGAGCAACTTGTTCGGGGAATATCTCGTTCTCGAAGCGAGGTCGATGACACGCGTTAGCTTATATAGAGAGACGTTCGGTTTAAAGGTCCATTAGATCTCCGGATGCAATATCGTTGCGACAGGTGACACACCGGATCGTAAGACGCAGATGGCGTATATTAAGGACACGCCACCCGGTATATCGTCACTGCGAAATGGAAACACGGATGAAACACGTTTCGTTCCGATCGATCAAAAACAGGGATAATATTATTTCACCTGTGCATTCGAAAATATATGCTGTAAACGCATCGATGTAAATAAACGAATTGCATGTTCCACATTTATGCGACGTGCGCGAACTGCTGGCTAATATACATATCCACCGTTTAACCCATATTTTTCCGTTTTTAATCGAGATGGAAAATTTTTCTCTCCTCGTTGAATTAAACAATCACGGCCATATGGTAACGTTATCTGTTAATTATCGCCGGCGAATTTTAGGCAGTGCGCACTTGCGATGAAATTTAACGGTTACGTCAGTGACAGATATAACGTGGACGCGACCAACAAATACGAGTTCGAATTACTTTTCCTGTCGCACGTGCTAGCCGATATCATCATTCCTTCTAATGCGTGTTGCGGAGAGTTTCACGATAATTACAATAGTTTGACACGTTATACCGTAAGCTGTGTTTTCTCCGACTGCGGACTACAGAGAGAGAGAGAGAGAGAGAGAGAGCGAGAGAAGGGGAGAGAGAGAAAGAGGGAGAGAATCATGAGATGGAAAATCCATTTACGATCTAAGCTTCGGCTTAGGGTAAGCCCCAGATCGGCCCATGATTTCGGTACTTCGATAACCCAGTCGTGCCAGCCGCCGGCGAGATGTTCGCCGGCGCAGAGACGATCCTCGATCGATTTTCCCGGTATCTCCCGACACAAGGGATTAGGTCAGGGACCAGAGAAACGGGTTAGAGCACGGCGAATCGGATGCTAGCACGGCCATCCAAGTGATGAGATGATTGGCTCGCTGATGAAACCTGATAGAGCTGCCTGCTGCCTGGCCGATCTGGCTTGGCGGATTATGTTCTCCCGTGCGAGAGAGCACGCTGGATCACAGCCGCCCCCTGATCTCATCCACTTCCGCCTCGGACACCTATTCTGCTCCGCGATCTTTTGACATGCCCACCGCTAGAAACTCGAAGATTCGATTTCGAGAAACTCAGAAATTGGACACGCTATAATTTCGGCCGCGGCCCAGTTTTCGTCACTTACGAAAGTACGAAGGAATGTATTTTACTTTTCAAATATAAAGACACTTTTATAGTACGATAGATATTTCCTGATACTTTTCTAACTATGCTGGTTCCAGTTATTGAGGAAAGTCTTATTTTTATTAAAGAGAATTGTTGTAATAAGCTTTGAGCGAAACTTAGATACATATTTTTCAACTTTAGGTATTTTCTTGAAGAAGATCCCATATTTTTAAATATAGATATATCGGCACATTTGTATTTTCTTTTGGATGGAATACGGCTATTCATAGACGTGTACGTTGATCATAAATTAAATAATACGTAAGTATCCATAAATTCCAGTCGAGGGGCATTGTCTGAGCGGATATCGAAGGGGGAAGAGAAAGCAACAAATTGCATCTAGTTGAAAACTCGTTCGGCCATCTCTCTTGACTTTCCACGACGAGCAGCCGGTCTCGAGAAAAATGACACTCTTATCTGAAAAATGGCCGGCCATAAACAATCCCGCGAATCGGTGTACGATAGCGGGCGGGCTGCTGCTTTCGTATAGCGCACGTCTTGGTATCGCTCTTTAACCTGTCGACAAAGTACCGCGTGATAAAATTCGGGATAAATCGTGACTTCGGTAGAAAAATTACACGGACATAAAAAGTTTCGCTCTGTCTTCGCGTAGATAAGATAAATATTCAATTATCAGCGAACATTTGCGTATCACGTGTTCGCGTGTCATTAAATATTATCCTTTGTTGAAACATTAGAGTTTTCCATGGTCTCTCTGGTCTTAACGCAATAACTCACAAATTTTTCTAACACAATGCCAGAGACAAAGAATGAATGTTTCCTCATTTTATCTATGAGATAACCAAAGGCACAAAGATGTACCGCGCGACACAAATATTGACAGAAAGCTTAGTGTTCCTTATCTAGGAGAAAATTGGGAATTATCAAAGCAGATATGATTCATAGATATTCTCAGAAAAATGCACATCGATAAGTAACGTTCTTCCTTGTAGGAAGAGCGTTAGTGTGATGTTCTGTCAGTAAAAAATAATTTTCTGATTATTTGATTTGTATTATTTACCAGCTGTTTAATTTTTTAACGTTAAATTATTCTCCTAACAAATTAAATTTTAATTCCATGAACATTTAGCTCTCTAAATTAATTGAAAAGTAACTAAGTCCCATTATTCATTCACGCTCCTGACATTTAATTTACCGGGGCGCTTTAATTTTCAACGTTAAATAGCGCGATAATTAGGTCTTAGATTAAATTCGCGCTAAGGGAAAAATTGACTACGAATTACTAAGAGTGCTCTTTATAAATTTACACCTCGGTTGAGACTCGCCGGAGAATACAGAGGCAGAATGCGAGTATCGAGCGAGACGCGAAATTAGGAAAATTAATTGTCGCCGGCGTAAAGAGACATATTCCGTTCACGATCCTTTCGCGCAGATACTTTTTCCATCAAACCCGAGTGTCTTTGTCGCGCTCGCCTTCGCAACTCGCTGAACGAAGTTTTCTCTGGATTTTACTGTCCGTGGAAGCGGAGAACGGCGGCCGTTTAGACGTCAACAGCTGCGTCGCAGCCCGCCCCGACTGCTAGTCGTCTCTATTTGTTCTTCTTACATTCTTCATGGAATAGTTCGGTCTCGCCGTGGATATACACCGAGTGACTGCGCGCCCCGAGAGGGATTAAGAATATCTTTCGGCTCTCGTCGGACGTTCCGAGGCGAATTGGCGTTGGTTCGCGACTGCATCACTCCCAGGGTGCTTCTCCCTTCGAGTGAAGCACCACTGTGGGCCGTTTGATAAAAGGGACGAGTACGTTGCGCCGTGACAACCAGTGAACTCGGAAGCATTCTCGAGGAGCGAAGCGGAAGGCCGCGTCCAGAGAAAACTACTTGAATCGTAAAATTCCTCGAGATAAGACAACGATGGTATGGGATACCTTAAACATGAGAGATTTAGATAGGAGAAATCGATGCGCTCAGTGAACTTACGAATAAGTACTTTGTGAATTGGAGAAATACGCTCTCTAGCAACGCGCGCGCGTTATCTAAAACGAGAGATACTTGTCCGAGAGCAGCCGGAGGGAGATCTGATTGTTGGACCTACCGGTACTTTATCGCCCATTCAGACTGGTTGATTGCGGAAACAAAGAGAAATATCCGTGTTTCTATGCGAGCTTTCGTATTACGAAAATAAAATCACGTAGGTTGATACTGACACAGAAAATATAATCTGATGAGAATATGCGATACAAATTCGGAACAAATAAGCCATTAAAAAGATGGGGATACGTCGATGGATGATTTCTTAATAATTTAATAAAAATCAAATTATTGTGAAATATTAAAGAGCGGTTTCTCTGAATGCGACCCTCGGTCTGTATGGAATGAAAAATGTTAGAAATAAACTCAAACGTTTAAAAGCAGGGATTGGGGTGTGAATAGTGATTAATTTCTTTCAGATATCAGTTGTAAAATACTTATTTAATAATACCTGACGAAGCAAATATATATAAATCTATGTTACATCCATTTGTCACAGATAAACATAAATAAATCCTTTGATTTCTCTCTCGACTTTTCGCTAATCGGACGTGTAGCAGTAGGTAGGTTTTATCGATTTATTCGCGTTACGAGCGCGAATATACAGTCGTATGCGATGCACTAATTTTGGCACAACTTCGCTGCGATAACGTTTCGCGTAAACGTTGCTTTGGTCGATCCAGACGCGATGTAACTTCTCCTTCCGCAGGAACATCATCCGAATGGTGCGCAACGTTGTACGCGATTGTTCTAACAAGGCTTTATTCATACACGGTTTAAAAATAAGGACACTTCTCGCTCCCGAGGCCGACAAGCTCGAGCCTTGTACGCATGAATTGCACTAATTTCTGACGCGTATTTCCTCCGCCATTGTAATACAGGCACACAATCTCTCTGAGCTGAGAGACTCCAAGCGACCCGTTCTCGCCGGAAACTCTCTTGCGCAATCGCACCGTGCAAACACACGCACGCACACGTGCGCGAGCACTTTCCTCATACAGCCGGTAAAAAGAAGAGAACACTTTAAATCTTCGTTCTCGACAACACGTAACACTTATATCACAGATAATGAACGCCGCTACGCCTTGGCCGCGTTCGCGGCGACGGAATCCTGGTCGGGCTTGGTGGGTAGTGGCCTGTTCGCCATTTTACTAGTGGATGCAGACGTTTGCTGGGGTTCCGACAGCTCCGAGTAGAGATGAGTCGTGTCGGACGGTTCGGCGTATTCGCACAGCAGCGAGTTCGGCCTCTTGTTGTTCGTTTTGCTGGCGGACGCGCCCATGATACTTTCGCCGAGAGCCTTGAGGAAGCTCATCGGCTTGGCAGATTGATTCCTCGTGTCCAGCTTTGGGCTCTGCGGCGGCCCGCAATCGTCGGCACCGTAGCCGAGGTTCCGCGGAGGACGATCATTGCCGACGAGATGATCGTTCACCACGTCCGGCGGTAACGGCTGCGGCCCCCTGCCGATCAAGCTCTCCAGCATCGGTTGCGACAGTCGACTTGTACTGGGCACCGTCTCGTCGCCCGGCAACTCGGCATACAGATGGTTCTGATCGGTGATTTTGACCGGTGGACCGAGCTGATCGCGCGGTTGCGCGTACTCAGTGATGGGCGGTCTGATACGCATCCCGCTCGGCAGCAGTTTATCCAAGGACGGTGCTCTGGTGCCGATGTTGACGGACGGTTTCGGTGCACCGCGGGGTCTCCTGATCCTCGGTCGGATCACGTCATACGCATTCTCCTCCCGATCACCCGTCGGTTGCCGGTCATTGTTGTTGTTGCAACTCTCCTCGACTTTGATAAGATCGTACAGGTGCTCGATCATGTCCCTCGCTTGGCTATGATTGTCGGGATCGTTCAGCCGTTCCTGGAGATCCCTCAGGTATTCCTCCGTCAGTTCTTCCGGTAACGTTTGCGTCGCCTTGTTCTCCGTGTACGGGTAAACGTCACCTTCCTCGTCGTCGTCCTCCGTACCTTCCGTCTGCGTGTCCATCTCGAGAATCCTAGTCTCCGCTTGGAGACCGGCGTACTCGTGGACGCTCAGCCTCGATATCGATCTAGCGGACGTCGCGGCGGTCATGCCGTTATTGGACGAGAGCCAGTTCGATAGATTCATCAATGAGCCGGATATCAGTTTGGGACATACGCCGCGACGGCGCATATAGAGGATCCCCGAGGCTAGGATCACCACGACGACGACGAAGACCGCCACGACGCATACGATGACGATGATTCTCTTCTCGTGTGACACCTGCTCCGACTCATCCATCTCCATGTCGAAGAATCCCTTCTGTCTTGGATAGATGTGAGGACCTACGCTGGGTGGACTGACACTCGGCTCTAGCTTCGGCGACGGCTTCTCGCAATTGACGTGATCCCGCTGCGTGCATATAAGCTGCGTGAAGTTTCGCATGGCCATGTAACCCTCGGGCAGATTCAGGCATTTTTTCAGGAAATTGTCGACCATGCAATAGCTGGAGTCCATCATCCACGCGACCGAGCTGTTGCGACCTGTCACTCCGCGTACCCAGCTTTCGAGATTGCAACTGCACTTTTCGTTAAAGTAATTGTTGCCGACGCGCGCCGAGTTCACGCTCTGCGAGATCGCCGCGAACCTGAGGGATCCCGGCCGTGCTTTTCGTATACGATTGTCCGTGAAGGAAAATTCGAATTTGGGCGCCGAAGTGGCACCGACCTCCGCTTTAATCGCGTCGCTCTCCAAATCGACGAAGACATTGCGATCGATCGCTATGTGGTTCCATTGATGCAACACGATCGAGCCTTGTTTCAGGTGTTGGAACTCGTTGTTGTTGAAGGTTACAGTCGCTGCCGATGTATTGATAGCACCAGTGTTCACCTCGGAAAATCTGTACGAGAAAGATAAAATAAAAAAGATTATAGCGCATGTTAGTACTCACTAAAGAATATTAAGAAATTGAAGAATATAATTAAGGAATAAAAATGTAATTAAGGAATATAAAAATTGAAAAACATTGAAAAGTTAATTTAGAAATATTGAATATGAATCTGCCTTCTGGAAAAAGGTCTACGAGTTTTTATTTCCTTCTCCATGAATTTATGCTGCGCGATAACAGTAAGGGTCGTAAAGTAAATTTAATGTTGACAACCTGGAATGTTGGATCGTGAGATTATCGTGGCCGGCTCTGAAGGCCGCCGTGTCGACATTCTTAAGTTGCACATCGACAAATTCGAGGTTTTGGATAAGAGCCCTGTCGCTGAAAGCGCCGGATTGAATCTCCTGGATAGTCGCGTTGCTAATAATCACGTTGAAAATAGTCATGGCACAAAAGGCATCCTTGCGTATAACCCTCATTGAGATGTCGTCCATGCGAATTTCCGCGATAGCCGAAGGAAAGACCGCCGTGGGTAACTCCGCAATCCTCACATTTTGGAACGTAATCTGTATCAAAGGTAATTCATACAAAATTGTAATTAACATTTCCGAGACTTGGCCGCTCTAAGGATTATCCGCGGACTTTTAGATTTAATTAACTGACAATTCGTGTTAGTGCAAATTGTTCTGAGCTCCATTTAGTGACATTCAAAACGGAGCATTATGAATGATATTATGTAATTTATTCATATTAATATGTTATCCGATATCAGAAGTGAATAGCGTAATGTAACTGGGATGCGAATATTATGTAGATGCCAATATCGGTATCAAGATTAATATCGGTTGTAATTTTCAAGATAAAATGAATGTAGACATTATATACGAGCATTGTTTAACAGCGTGTAATGGATACGAGAATAATTTGCAAGATATCCGACCTTGGTCGCTGGTCCGTGTCGTCCGGGTTGAGGCGCCTCCAACTTGAAGGCGTTGCTGGAGAGCTCCAAGGATGGTACATCCCTCATCTTGAGCCACAGCAGCCACGTGAAGGCGTTCGGTTTTATCTCCACGTGTTTGCATCGCGATATCGAGACGCTCAGCGTGCCGCGCGTGTTCCGGAAGGCGTGGCTCTCCAGGAACACGCTGTCGCACTCCGACACCTCGAGATGCGTGTTGGGTGTGCTGAGATTCTGAAAGGCCTGCGTTTTGGCGACCACGTTGTTGATCCCCGAAACATGCACGCGTTTCAGGGGCGCACCCCCGCCGAACGCGCCCGCTTGTATTCTCAATTCTTGGCAGTGAGAGACCTCGAGTTCCGTTGCATTCGACGGAATGGTCCCTTCCAGCAACTCCACGCTCTAGAATGAAAACGAAACGAAAGATAGAACATGATGGTGTTATCGAGCCTCTTATTATTTACGATTTACACGTTAACAAGTACAATTAAAGAAGATTGCAACGCTCCACGGCATCGATATCTTGCCAAGGCCGTGTGCCTCGTCATTCTCCATCTCCAGATTTACATCTCGGTTGCGTAATGCGTATCATAACAAGACGACTGACTAAGATTATTTTCTGGAAACGTAATAAACGCGTTTACATTTCCTTACTTAAGACCTCGCATGATTTACAGCAGTCTTGAGGATTATTACACTATCAAAAACCATAAAATTTTGTAGGCTAACACAGCATAGAACAAAGAACACGTTTGACGTTATTTGCAGCGATACTGCCAAATCGTTTAGCTATTTGAGAAATTAGTACCTATGTCTTAAGGATAGCAATTTGTGATAATGACATTTTAATTGATTTAGTAGATATGGTTTCGTAAATTATAAAAAAGGAGCAATTTTGTTTATTGATGGCTTCTAAGGATACCTAGATAAGTAGTAAAATAAATAACAAAACATTGATTTATTCTTATTGAATAATAGAATTTCAGAGTTTAGGTTTGAAATATTTCCATTGATTTCTGCATCGACTTCCTGGCGGCTATTTATAGATTTATCTCAGCGCCGCCAGTTTGTCGGTGTATTCCCTGAGCTAGTCCGATCATATATGTCACTCGACTTCTTAACGTCTCTCAGTTTCTCTCCACGTTATATCAGAAAGGTGGATCGCGATAAGCTTTCTAAAAGTTGATACCCCCGTATGCCCTCAATATCTTTTGTGCGACTATAGAACAGCTGTGCGCCGCGCCGCTGAAAATCGCTGAAAAATACAGAATGGAGAAATATTCAGCAGCCAGCCCGCGAACGATAATCCGAATCTCGCTGCCGAAAACTGACTTCGAAAAATCCGATTCTCGTGAGATATGAATTTTTGACGATCCCATGCACTAAATAAATACCTTGAATAAACATCAGCGCCGTTCCGATTTTTCGTTCGCCCCTCGGGGAGATATCCTTTCTCGCGCTTATTAGAAATTATTTATTCGCTTCTATTTTTAGACCGGAGCTCTTTGTTTGCCGTGATGCACGCGAGCGCATCCGGTTCTTCCCGGCACCTTTGACCCACCCCCGACAACTAAATCCGTTATCTGAGATATTTTCGTCTGAGATATCACAACGCTGTTTACACGCGCGTGTTAAACATGCTCGAGAAATACGACGTGTTAGGCGACATGTTAAGTAATCTTAACTGCACGATGAGTTGATTCATTATAATGTCTTCCGAGATAAGGAAAGAGAAATGTGACGACGGATGTTAAGGTGCAAACATTCAACGATTGAATTATTTTGTACGTGTCGCTATGCGCAAGCACGGGATAATTAACTTTTCCTACAACTATCATTCTTTTACGGTTTTGACATCAAAGACTTTTGACGTAGAAAGATACTACAGTATTCTAAAAATTATTACTTTGTCAAAAAATTTTGCCGCGGCTATTGTAGGTGCCATTCGTTTGACTTTTTTTTTCTCGTCCAAAACGATTATTTATCTGCGCGTAATAAAATTTCAGTTACCGAAATGGACGAAATTATTACTCTCTTCCCGTTTGGATATCTTCCAGATTCGCATGCGCGCGATGTTTACTTTCCGTAGAGAATTATTTTTCCGCGCATCCTGGTTTATTTTCACGTTTGACTTCATGCGAAAAAAGTCAAACAGACATAGACCACATAATGCGGCGCCCAGGCCCTAGTTTCTTCAAAGCACCGGAAAATCGTTTCAAGAGTTCATTAGAACGCCGATGAGTCATGCGCCACTGTTCGCGCTCGTCGCGTCGAGTAATGCGTGCGGTTCGACTTTCGCATCCCGTCTCTCGGTTACACCACGGGTAACACGAGGCTCCGGTTTATTCTTTCTTGCTTCGTCGTAGTCTTGTTTTCATCGTGTTCCCATCCACCATAATTCGCGGTTCGATTTCAACCGACGAGTGCACCCTTGAATGCTCTCTATTCGAAAAAGAAGAAAGAAGAGGACATCGATATCGTCCGTATATAGCCCGGATTAATGTAAATGTCGAGCGGAATGAGATGAAATGTATCGCGATTACGAGCGCACGAGGGCAGCTATATGCCAGACGATCTCGTTGGATCACGGTGACTGCAGCTTCATTACGACTCAGATTATCCGGACAGATACGATCTCCGATAATATTGGATTCAGTTTCATGACAGCATCCGATAACGCGTATTTGGGCGAAGCTCAGAAACACGTACCAGGCACAGTTGCGAAATCCAGTCGAAATCAATTTATGAGATGCGTATTATCAATTTGCTTGCCTTTGATATGTATCGATATACCTGACATTTTATGAGGATTTTAATGACACGTGATTTCGTTTTCTTTTAAGTTCTTACGAAGTCGTATTGCTTTCCGATATACATCAGCTGTAATGTGTAGCGAATTTCCTGTGCGTTAAACCTCGCGTACCATGAGATACACGCTGCTCCGACTGATAACGCCGCGGACAAAGTAAATAGCGGCGTCGGCGTGGCGGTAGTTTGTTCCTAATTAAAAATATGCGCGACTTCCTTGCAATTCAGCGTGAAAATTCCGCGCGGACAGAGTTAATTAACGGAATAGAAGCACGGGGAAATACCGCGACGTCGAGTGTATAAAGCTGATGGATATACACTTAGCGAACGAACAGCGAACGCGAATGTTTGGACATTCGCGTTTTTGCTCCTACGTTGGTTGTTTTTTCTTTCGATTGCACCAAATACTAGAATTCGACCAGATTCGGTATTTGCTGCATGTATAGCAATTTGAAATTTTTGATTGTATCTGTTGAATAATGACAACGAACGTTTACGTTTGCTGTTCGTTCGGTGCTCGTTCGCTAAGTGTATACCCAGCTTTAAACGAAGCGAGCTGCGCGATATAGCTATTTGCGCGCGTTCGTATCGGATTTTGCTTTCATTGTGTATCATCGATGATGTTACTTTGGATGCGTCGTGCCGTGAAACAGCTGTTGCAGTCGACGGTTCTTCGACGGAACAGAGAGGAACGCGGTCAGGTGTGGCGGGAAGGAGGCGCGACATAAGTCGGAAAATGCGTTTCTCCTCTTTCTCTCACTCTGTGTCTCTCTCTCTTCTTCCTCGATGAATGACTAAGACTGCTTCTGGAAAGTCATGTCATTTCGTACACGGCCGGTGTGACTCAAGGGTCGAGACGCGCGGGTAACGCCGGTTATTTCTGCATCGCGGGCCTCGGGCACAAAGAGCGTCTCTCTCTCTCTCTCTCTCTTTCTCTATCTCTCTCTCTCGGTCCCGCGCGAGTTACGAATGACGTTAAAACGCCGGTGCGAATTAATTTCGCGGTACCGGGGACGAGGGATCGCGCGCTGGCCCGCAGCCATCGTAGAATTTTCTATTGCCGCGATGCGTTCTACGTGGCAGTTTAATTTCCATACCCGCCCGCGCTCGTTCGTCCACGTTGCGATATAATTGACGAGCTTTAACAAGAGCCGCCGCGCTATTGAATATGGAAAACATATTGTGGGATCAATTCATGCTAATTAACACGTCAAAATGTTTGCCGGATTTCAATTATCAAAGACCGCGCGATTTCTTATCGTTCGCTTTAAATTATTCTTGACCAAACGATCGTTCGACAAAGAAATCCTTGTGGAAACATGAGCTTCCGAAAAATTTTCTGCCAGCTGGAGTTATTCGAGAACGGTTACTCAATTTGTTTCGATCCGCCCTGAAATTTTAGAGTAGAAATTTTTTAATATCGCTCCGCCTCGTTTCGCTTCGTTCCGCAACGGAGCGTGTCGAATCGTTTCCGTTATCGTTTCGGTTTAGTCCGGTTCCATATGTTCGGAGGAAAACTTTCGTGAGAGGGAAACCTCGAGATTTCTTCGAATTCCGGCATTTTTACGATACATTTAAGTTCGGCATTGTGATTTCTTAGTAATGTCTGTCTAATATGTCTGGTATCTCGATTTGAACACGAGAAACTTTTATTTAAGACTGAACGTGCAATTTTTAATATATATTTCTTAAAATAAATCAATTTGTGCGCCGAAGATTTTTATTTTGCGACTCGGTAAAGAGAATGCATTAATTAATGTTGCGCTATTTGATCAGCTATCCAAACAGTTGTACGCGGCAATATTGCGACGAAAACAAGTCCCATAATATCGAGAGAGCGTTGCTTTCTGGCGAGAAAGCACTGCAACGTGGATCGCAACGCGGAGGTTGCAGTACATATACCGTTAGCCGAAGAGAATCTCAAGCCGACTGTCTAGAATATCGATGATTCGCAAGGGTTGCCATCGTCGGCATGGCGCACACGGGAGGAAACATTATTTCGACTTATACAACGCGACCGGCGCTCGCTCGGAATGCGTCGGAGCGGAAATAAAGGGAACGGACCACTTTAGCTGGATTGCGCGAATGCCGTCGGACCGTGGATCTGTGGTAACCGACTTTGTCCTATGCGGCATTGAGAAAACTCGATAGTTTTGGCCGGACGCCACGTTCATGACGAACGGAAATGACCACGAAACCCTGCTTATTGTAGTAGTCTAATAGAGCTCGTATAGAGGTTTATGCCGACGTTAAAATATTTTCGCCCGCGTTAGTCGCTTGCCAGCGTAAACACGAGAGAAAACGATGCTGAACGATGCAAGTTTCCACAGCATGTTAACCCGTTGCAGTTCATTAATTTCAATTAAGTATCTTGAATGTATTTTTGTTTTGTCAATTCAATGTGAAAAATTAATTTGTTGTTTGAAAATTTTCACAAAAATTTTAGATGTGATAGAATGTCTTGCCGTTTTATTTTAGTTAACTTTATAAATTAACTGAGCAAGTTATTGAACAGCTATTACGAATACTGTACGAAATTAGATCCATCGAGACCCAAACATTTACTGAAAAACAGTACATAAAATTCTAGAAAT